TAAACTTGCTGAGGTATGACAAATGTGAATTTGGCTGCTATAATGCGTGGTACATCCATGCATCCTTGGGCATGTTTAGAGCCATTTAACTTGGCCAAAATTCATGGAATACATGTCTGAGAGTAAAAGTACCATTGATAATGCCAGGGGGTGTCTGGGTGTAGTAGATCTCAGGGAGGGTATAGATACACCAGGAGATCCACTCCAGAAACTCAACTAAACATAGACCCTGAAATCTGGTACATGAATACTGCATATTCATTCATGAATTTAACATATTTTATCATAGTTTTATATAGCCTGGAAGTTGGGTTATTGACTGATTTCCCATGAGCTAAGATATTCTATTGACATCCAGGATGGAGGATATTGGCACATGTAATACAATGATAAATGTATAACAGAATGAGTACTTGTGAGCAAGGGGATAATTCTGTGCAAAGTTATTAAGGGGAAGGAAAAGGTAACCCCCACTTCAGTTACCCCCCCAGACCATTGGACTACCTAAATAAACTATTTAAACCTGTTGGACTGCCTCCCATATAGATAGTTATAGATAGTTTAACTATAGATCTATAACTATATTAGTGCAACTATAGTCTGCAACTATATGCCTATATTGCTGACTATATGACTATACTAGTTCAACTATAGTTATTTTTCATACTAAAGACAACTATATATATATGTCACAGAGTGTCTGAGGTCTTTTTTCAAACTATATAACTCTACTATTTCAACTATATGTAGTTATATATAGATATCACAGAGTATTTGGGGTCTTTCTTTAAACTATGTAACTATATGTTTATACAATAAATTAATGCTTTTAAAGCAGACTACTATATATAGAAAGATTACATATAAAGTAATATGCTAAATTTAGTAGTTAACTTAATTCAGAAAATAACTATATAGAGTAAGTAACTAGATATAGTAATATACTTTATATAGAAATATTCTGTATATAGTATATATCTATATAAAGAGTATTTCCTTATTTGGAATATTGATTTATTTAGTAATTTCTATATTTGGAAAATGTCAATTTTAGAAAATATTGACAAGTCTTTTATTAATAAGATAAATCTATTGAATATTCTACTTGCTATAAGAAAAACTATTGTTGTCTTTTACTCCGCTTGAAGTAAGTTATGAGAACAGTAGAACAAAACATATGCTACAGTATATAGCATAAACACTATACTTGATCAATAAAAGAGACATTTCAGCTTAGACAAAAGGTCTCTTATAGAATTACTAAGCAATTGGTAGCAATATTTTAATAGTGGCTACTACAAGATAGCCATGTTCTGATTGACCCAGATGCAATGTAAAGATATTCTTTCATTTATTAATAACTATAGTTGAACTAGTATAGTCATATAGTCAGCAATATAGGCATATAGTTGCAGACTATAGTTGCACTAATATACTGCTAGATCTATAGTTAAACTATCTATAACTATCTATATGGGAGGCAGTCCAACAGGTTTAAATAGTTTATTATATTAGGCAGTCCAATGGTCCGAGAGGGTAACTGAAGTGTTGCCTGAGAAGTGTCCCTAATGCCTGTCTGATGACCCAATGAGAATATATCCTCACTGAACTGGATCCATTCCCCTTCATGCTCGTCTCTGAATGCCTGCAGTGCTGATTGAATATACTTGAAGATTTTGCTGCTAAGAAGATTCTGGGTAGGAGGACGTGGTTGGGGTGCCATCACCACTATATGTGCCAATTCCTCAAGTGCAAGTGTGAGCTAAATAGACATTAGTAAGCAGTTTTGAAAGTGATAAATAAACCCACAAGAACAGCAGCCATTGTGACATCTTCAACAAGTATACCACCCAAAGGAGGAGTGGCAATCACAGCTGGCCATTCTGATCCAAACAGGATGGTGTATGTGACCTCTTGCAGAGGCTTATCACCCAGCCCGTCTTGAGCAGGGCTCATCTCTGACCAATGTCAGAATCACTTTCTATTCAGATGTTGAAGCAGACTCACTGAGGTGCCACATAAGAATGGGCGACTGTTGAGGACACTCTCATCCAGAGTGGCAAGCTGTCCAGGCTCCAACATTCTCTCAGATCCATAGTGAACAAGCACAGAACTCCAAGCATGGTGAAGTCTGGAGTTGATGCACTCCAATGTTGGAAGCATATTTGACCCTCAGACAATGTCCTTGAGCAATGGATCTATGGACTGTATTCCAATGACCCCTTGCCAGATCTCGCCAACAAGGAGGTGACATTGGTAGGTGGACTGTGAGGTATGAGAAAAGGTAGGGAGTCATATTTTGTTTCCAAAAAATTTCAATAAACCTGCTTCAATCATGTGATGCACTGAAGTGGCCTTGGTGGAGTGATCAAATAATATAGGGATTTTGGCATGGAAAATGGCATGAGAAACCTGATGCACAAGTGCACAGTCGACCTCAAAGCCAAGGACCTCTGACATTGAGCTCTGTACTTTGCAGTGGATGTCTTGACTGGTCCATTCATACTTCCTCTTCTTCAGTCATGGGTCAGGAACAGGGTTAACCCAGATAAGTGACGAGTACTCTGGGATATCCTTTTCTGCTAACTGCAAGAGATGTTCTCCAATAGGGCACAAAACCCAGAGGTATAGATAGATGAGTAGTGAGGCTGGAGGTAGAAAAAGAAGGGCTGTTGAAGCAATAGTTCTGTTGACTTGCTTGGCCTGAGGGTTTGCCAATAAGACTGCTGTCTGAATTGAAAGCTTTGGAAGAACGGTCCAGACGCTAGAACAAAAATTGCAGCAATAGCTGCCAGAACATTCTGCTCTGCCTTCAGCCAAGCTGCCAACTTCTTGGATATGATTTGTTTGGATTTGTCAAACAAGCAATGACAGGCATTGGACGGTGATTTGAGGGCTTCGAGTATAGGAGTGGACAGTGCTTGGAGCCTTACAAAGTTTTGGTCTTGTTTGTGGACAGAAAGAGCTGTAAAGTCGTCCTGGATCTGATCTAGATTGAACGTGTCAACAATAGCTGCACATGATTCAGGAATGAGGTTTGAAATCACTTGAGGGAGTGTTACATTGCATAGCATTACAACAGTCTTGTGCTAGAGAAGCATGTTCACCACGAGAGGGTGCTCTCATGTGTTGGTTAAGGTGAAAATTTGCCCGTTAGGGAATATGGTGCTTTCATCCATGCCCAGGGTGTCAGAATGTAGACAGCATTCTTGATTTGCTGGTAGGGTGTGTTTTTGGCTCCTGTGACCACTGTCGATACCCAGGAGCCCATCTCATCAAGATACCTTGGCCAAATCATGAGAACAGAAGTGCTGAGGAGATTTACAAGCTTACTGCATGACCTGGTTTGAGAACTCAGTAGCTGCATCCTCTGAGGAAATTGTGCAATCATCTAATATTAAGATAAGTCAACTCATTAACTATATATCCCAATGTATTTAGAACATACCCAGTGGTAACCCTGAATCAGTACCCTCATATTCATTTTTGGAATCCATATCATGACTTCCATATCATGACTCTCCTCACTCAAATCGCTTATATCTCCAGGTGAATCACCACATCTGCCTGGCTCATCTTTCAGCTGCACGGAGTCTCTGGGAATCCAAGGCTTGTAGGGTTCTGAGCCATTCAAGCGTACAACATGAACTAGAACACAGCGGAAAGTATGTAGTAGAGCTGAACAGAGAGACTGGATGGCATTGGCTGTAATGAAATGGCAATTGGGTCCAGCCAGAGATAATAGAAAGAGAACTTGATCAGTTGGGCAAGCAATCTGCACCTCTTGTAGACTGGATGGCTGCAGAATAGCATCAAATGTGGAATGCATGAGTGACAGCAGGACAGTGTTATCAGGCTTGCCCTGGGATTGCAGAAAGTGAAGACGGAGCACTTCAGCAGCTGCAATCTGGAGAGTACCTTCTTCAATCTTGATTGATCCTAGGCTGTTAGTCAAACTGTTGGCTTTCATTTGTAACAGTTGGACCATAAAGGCCACAGTCAAGACGAGATATTTGGAATATCTCTGAGTGGTGTTCTCCTGAACATGCCTGAAGCAGCTTTTCTTGCTCCTGTTCAATGGAAAATATCAGCACCAGATACCTGGAATCTAAAAAAAGGTGAAATACCCAGCAGCCACAGCTTTATGAACATCTGAGTGTTATGAATCAAGAAACTCCTGGACATTCTTGAAATAAAGAACAGCTTCCTGACCCAACACAAGCAGGCCTGATTCAATGAACTTTGCATCAGAAGATAGGTCCAACTGCAGAACCCTGGATGGATGGGCCATGAGTCCTGCAGTGACTCCACACTCATGCTATCACCAAGAGACACCAGATAGCTGATCCATTCTAGATCTGCCATCCACATCGCTTTTGTGGTAAGCTCATCCCACAGTTTGTTCTTGGTATGAGAAAATGTTTGTTGAGCTGGCAGCTGGGCCATTGTCATCATGGCCAGCAGAGCTTGTGTGACCAAATCATCCAGCTGAAGCTAGAAGGACACATTGGCGCCCGGATGAAGAACTTGGATCTTTTGGACCAGAGAGCTGTTGTAGTGCTGCAGGGAGGGAAATAACATGCCCTTGTGTTGCTTGTGGAAGTGACAGCAGATGTTGTATTCAGGGTTTCACAACTGTATTTCACTTGAAGGAGTGACAATAGCCCAGTACTTGCATCCCTCATGAGGGAATTTGTAAAACTGGTTAATCATGCTTTTGCCTCAGTTTCCCTCCTTGACTTCCAGAGGACGGGAAAGAGTGCTGGGCAGTGTTTCTAGCAGACTCATTGTGGTTTGGGTCTTGTCAAGTTCATGTCCTTCAATGATGTGATGAGCAATCCGCTCCCATTCTTGAGGTGAGAGTAGACAGTGGCCAAGTTCAAGATCTTGAGTATGATCATCCCTAAGATGATCTATAATTTGGTTTCCAGGAATGAGACAACCACCAGCGTGGTCTCAGCAGACCAAGACCTTAAGCTCCTGGCAGTAGAAAAGATGCATATGGAGCAGTACAGTGCAGGTGCTGCCATCACAGTGATGCAGATGAGGGCAGGTATAGCCATCTGCAAATGTAAAAGACAACGCCTGCTCACTTGTTGTCTCTTTCTTGGACATAAGAGGCCCATGGTACTGCACAGTGCAGCAGCATTTTGGTCCACAGGATGCCTTGGTCTGGATTGGGTGGCTAGCTTTCTTGTGTTTCTGGTGATTCAGTCAGCGTCCTCCTGAATCCCTGTCTGAGGAGATAGCCATGCTGTCATCATCACTGTTGCTGCCAGTGGAGTCCTCTTTGGAGAAGGTATTGGTTTTGTGGTCTGTGTTGACATCTATAGTAGACTGTATTTCTGGATCTGGGAAAGTTGATTCTGTGCCTCGTTTTCACAGATTATAGTGGTGATGATCCTTACAGGAAATGAGATCTTGATCCAATTCTGAAGAAAAAAAGAATACCTTTGGAGATTCTGCCTGGTTGTTGAACACTGGGATGAGTGCTCAAGGCCCACTGCAAGCAGTCTTAGATACTGTTCATTGAGAAGTCAAACTATACACCATCTGGCCCAGCCATATCTATATCCTTATCCGTGCATAAGCCACTGCAGTCTAAGCCTGTATCGTGTTCTTGTGCTTTTGCATTGATATGCTGATCAGGGGGTCTTGAACTTGCAATTGATTCACTGTCACTGTCACCGTTCCCCCCCTTTCCTACAAATAGCGACTCAAAATCAGCATCTGAGTCGTTGTCCACATCCTCCAAATAGAGACTCATAACCTGCATCTGAGTCCTCATCACTCTCAGTGTATGGGCCAAACAAATGTGCAAGACTGTCTTTCATTGAAGTGGGGTTTTGTGGGTTTAGATTTCAGAGAACAGAAAAGACAGAGCCATAATGGTTTGATTTTGATATGAGACATAATGGTGCTCAACTGTGGGAGCTGCTTTTGATCAGCCCCTAAAGTTCAACCAAAGTGCTACATCTACTGTAATGATTTTTAGCAGGCTCAATCAAAAAAATTTCATCCTGCTAACTAACCTTTCATCCTCTCACATTGCAGCTTGACTGGCTTCCTTGCCCACTACCAGCCCCTCCACCTGAACTTGCTCCACTTGACCCGAGAAGCTGACCGTAACCCGATCCAAGAGCAAATGATGAGGAAGGACTAGCAACACTCACACCTTGACAAGGAAGTCATGCCAAAGCCATACTTGATGCCCAGCTACCAGATCTGGTAGACGGACCAAGGTCACCAGCACCAACAGGACTGGTGGGTGATCCAATGCTGCTGGACAACATGCTTAAAGGCATGTATGTGAGGAGGTGATTGGAGAGGGTAAAGACTGATTGTGACTGCACTAATCTGAGAATTGTTGCTGGAGGATTGGTAGAAGGCATAGAACCAAAGTCAGATACCGACCCAAGGGGGTAGAATGATTGAGGCAGTATCTTCATGAAATTGGAGTGTGTTGAGAGCTCTTCATTTGCCAGTGCAGCCTGAATCGAGGCCTACCCAGAGACTGCTTCACAGCCATGGGTGCTATCCTGAGATTATACATCAGAGCCTTCAACTATCCTTTTGGACAACTGTCCAACAACAATGAGTGTCTGCCTGAAGCAATGCAAAATTTTTAATAGATATATATATAGAAATAAAACTGTGATGCCAAGTCTGATCAGAGGATCATGTGACTTTTTAAATGCCTTTTTAATCATGCTTGGCTTCTGCAATCCTGATATTCTGGCCTCAAATAGAAACAATTAATCAATATGAAGTGATGGCACCTGATGCTGGTGTGACTTATGAGATATAGAGCCATCATTATTGCTGATCCCATTAGTGTGACTATTACAAATGCTAAGTTGGACTTTGCAAAAATTTATTCAAGTCTAGTTTATTGTTGATATAGACAGTTGACCAAAGCCTCTTGTAAGCAACTATTTGGCCAAGTCACATGACCATGGGAATTCCCTTTTTGGAAAGTTTTAGTGCAGCTGAAAAGCCCCAAATTAGCTCATTTTGGCACTATATAAATGATGCTATTTGGTGTTGCTTACATTGAGATATGAGCAAAACAATTGCTAATTTTTCAAAACCAACAGGATTTTTTGAATATTTTGCATTTTTCTCATCAACAACAAAGAATATCACTCTTATTCAAGTAGGTTCAGGGTCATCAAAAGATGCTTTATCATTTTCCAAAAAAAGAAATATTAGTCAGCAATGTTTTTAAAGTCCAACAAACTAAATACATCTAACAGCCATCTATATCACTCTACAACTGTGCATAATAGACAGTTGTCCAAGAGGATAGTTGTGCACTCTGATGTATAACCTTTGTTGGACAACTGTCCATTTTTTATACTTCAGGGTGGCAGCTACAGGTGGTTGTCCTGTGAGTCAGAGGAGAAATCCAGGGGTGAGAGAACTCCAGTGACATTGTCCATGAACTCACTTGTGTCAGAGTTATTGGCATCAGTATCGACATATTACGAGTTCTTACATAAGTAAGACTCATTCTTTCAACCTGGGACACAGAGATCATTTTACTTTCCCACGTTATGGTCATCCATGCTTTTTTTCCCACAGTAAGTATTACATTGATGGCATAGCTACATTTTCAATAGTTCACTACATTTTTACTGGCTATTGTAGTAATGCCCTTCTTGCCCTCTGCAAAATCAAAATCACCAACCTCCCTTGCTCACTGCAGCCCTCTCTCCCCCTTCCAACATAACCCCCAGCACCATCCAACAACAGCCCTGGTGCTCAAATGATCCTGGACTTCACAGTTCAGTACTATTCACGCTTGTTCAGCCACCACCGCCTGCCCCTCTCGCCCTATGACCACCTGCTTGCCCTCCTCACCCTTTGCCTCTTGCCCCTCTCCACAGGCCTCAAAAACAAAGAACAATGGTGAACCAACGTGCCCCTTCTTACCCTTCCCTCCTCACTCTCGACTTCCGCCACCACCACCCCCTCTTCTTGCCCCTCCAATGCCGCTTGCCCATCCCAATGGCCTTCAAGGACGCCCAATGATGCCAAACACAGAGGTTGGGTGATGTTCGTGCTCATTCTGTGTCCCGCCTGCCTGCCCATCTAGCACTGCCCGCCTGTCACCTTCCACCACTACCACCCCCTCCTCTTGCCCTCTGACACCTGTCGCCCATCCAAACGGCCCTCAAGGACGCTGAACAATGCCAAACACAGAGGTTCAGTGTCTTTTGTGCTTGTTCTGTGCCCTGCTCACCTGCCCATCCAGCACTCTGCCTTCTGCCACCACCACCCCCTCTTCTTGCCCCTCTGATGCCCCTCACCCATCCAAACGGCCCCTGAAGAGCCCTGATGACAACAAATGACACCGAACACAGAGGTTCAGTGGTGTTTACAGTCGTTCTGTGCCCCACCTGCCCCTTCTCACCCTTCCCCCCTCCCTCTCGCCTTCTGCCACCACCACCCCCTCTTCTTGCCCCTCTGATGCCCCTTGCCCATCCAAATGGCCCCCAAAGAGCCCTGATGACAGCGAACAATGCTGAAGCTCTCATCCTCTAAAAAAGTTCACTTTCAGAACATCATGAAATAGAATAGATATATATTGAGAATAATTATGTGAAATACATGTTCCAGGAAGCAAAGGCCAAGTCATGAGTATGAATGAGAGAACACTGTTGTCGAGTCACAGAGGTGGTTGTTGTTGACTTGTGGAGGCTGTCATCAAGTCGCACAACATGATGATGAACTGGTGGGGTGGAGTAAGTAATGGAAGGAGGGATTAGAGACAGTGACACACTATGCTGGGTCTCCCACTGCTCGGGTCTCCCTGGTGGTCCTTCTCTCCATCCAGCTCTTCCATAACCCTCATTGGAGGGCATGGTCATGGAGATGTTGGACCTGACATTGATCTGTGGAGGCGGTCATTGAGTTGTTGGAGCTGACATTGAGTTGTGGGAGACTGACATTGAGTCATGAGGGAGTGGCTTCCAGTTACTGTGGCTGATGTTGAATCAGCAGGCCAGCATCAAGTAGTAGAGAGATGTGGCCAGCATCAAGACATGGGGCCTATTATCAACTTGTGTGATGCAACAGAGAACTAGCAGGTGAGTAAGGAAGAGTGGAAGAAGAGGTAGTCAGTCACTTACTGTGTTGGGTGTTTGGTATCTGGCTACTCGGGTCTCCAGTTACTTGGGTCTCCCTTTGTTTTCCTCCTCCTCCATTCAGCCCTTCAAAATGCACCCTGTCCCTCATTGAAAGGCACAGGTGCATGGTGTAGATATCTATAGTAGAAGAGGGAGAGGAGGAATGGTGATAGTAGCAGCAGAAGAAAGAAAGCGATGATGTAGCACGCAATTATGGCCAGCACAAGTCACCTGATAATTTACCTTACTGTCTACAAATGAAACAGTATTCACATACCCTACATTATATTTATGGGTACTGTATTTTTCTCCTGTATTTTACATTAATTACACAAGTTATTTCATGAGAATTGAATAAGAATTGACAGAGATATGGAATTTGCAAGATGAGGCGAGCGGCTGTGGTGGCTTTGTTTGTTTAGCCAAACATATGATGCACGAAAACTCCTGGAGAGTTTTCGTGTGTCATAGCTGTCAAACTCTGCTCACATGACCTAGCAAGTCACATGTCCTTCTACTACAGAAACAGTGTCTCTATATCTCTGCAAAGGCTGCAGCTACAGCTCTGAAATTTTATACATCATGAGGCAATGTTCAGAGAAGCTTACATAAGGAATTTCAGATCTTCAGGGGTGCTGTGGCATGAGATATTACATGTTTTAAATGCAGAAAACCCACACCTCCATATCTCAACACCTACTCATGCTACAGGTCTATAACTTTGTGGCCAACATCACCTATATTATATCTACTTGTGTACAAATTTTCAGGGTTGTTGATTGTCTTGATGCCAAGATATTGCGATATGCGCATTGTTTAAATGCAAAAAACCCACGCCTCTATATCTCAACACCTACTAATACTATCAGTCTATAAATTTGAGGCTATTATCAACCATATTATATCTACCGGTGTACCATTTTTCAGCTCCGTTGATTGTCTGGATGCCAAGATATTGCAATATGCACATTGTTTTAATGCAACAAACCTGCACCTCTATATCTCAACACCTACTGATGCTACAGGTCTATAAAGTTGAGGCTAGTATCAACCATATTAGATATACATCTGTACCAACTTTCAGGTCTGTCAATAGTCCAAGTGGCAAGATATTGCAATATGTGCATTTTTGGATTTTTTGATGGAAACCAGTAATTTAAATATGCAGCCATGAATACTCAATGTGCATCTATGAACTCTACATTTGCGAAAGACCTTCTGTATCCTATATAATGCTGCCAAGGTGTTCCAGTGCTCTGGTCCTTGCCAGGGGTAGAGATTTGAGTGCACATTTTCAGCTATTTTTAGAAATCAGCGCTATTTAGTCAATTGTGCACACAATTCTGTGCATGATACTGATATTTTGGGACCAATGTAACTGAACATTATGACTCCTCATTAATGCAGATTTATTTTAGCTAGAGGATGTCTGGGAGAGAGGCCAGTGAAGCCACACTTTCATATTTTTAGAGGTGTGCAGCATTAATTTGACTGTAGATCTACCAAATCCTGGAATTTTCCCATGTTCAAGACCTCTACTGAGAGTTATGAATATTTCATGATTTATGATATTTTTAAATTAAAATTAAAATGGCCCAGAAATAATTGAAATATGCCAGCATTTGTCACAACCCATCTCCTGCTCCTGGCTTGATTATGCAACTTCCAAGGCTGTTATCTGGCTTCCGAGGCTCATGGTATTGAGCTGTGCACTTTTCAGATGCTTCTTAGACATCCAGGAATGAGCTCTGAGCTTCCAGAATGCTTCTGACATGTGCCATGTCTCTAGCTCACCCCATTGTGCCTCCAAGCCATTGTTCTATTGTTCTCCATTGTTCTTATTTATTGTCTTGGCTGAGTTATCTATTACATAATCATAGTATGTTATTCTACATGGCATAAATACCCATGTACAGTAGTTGATTCCTCAGTCAGAATATCAAACTTGCCCCATTGCTTAGAGTGCAGAGGCATTAATACAAGAATAAATAGAACAGCTAGAGATATGAGACAAAAATGAACTCGTAATTGCCATGCAAAGCAATGGCCCACAATACCAAGTTTAAGTACTTAATTTAGTAACCAGCTCACATAGCGTACGTGTTCTGTAGATAGCGAGTGGGCTGCCATTGAGCACCACTATATAAATTGTTGATCAAAAAAGAAAAAAAAAATGGGCATGGGGTTCAGCCCGCTTGAGAAGCCTCTTGCCCATCATGGAGCAAAGAGGGTGAGTGTCTGAGAGGGTAGCAAAGCGATACACTGCACACATCGCCAACTTCTTCAGCATAAGATGGATGGGGATGAGGCCTGCAAGGGCTTCAAGACCACCTGTAGGTGAGGTGTGGAAGGCACCCATGATCCATAGAGCAGCTTTACACTGCATCTGTTTGAGCTGGTTGATGGCCCCTTTGTTATGGGCACCATTAAAATACCAGAGACAATAGCTGTATGTGGCAATAGGAACCACACACAATCTATAAAGGAGGCATCGCTGTCTAGGCAAAAGACCTCTGGTGGAGTTCCCAAGCATGCACATGGCTTGTACGGTGGTGAATGCCTTGGTGGCATAGTAGCGAACATGCTCATAGAAAGTGAGCCCACGGTCAAAGTAGAAGCCCAAGTACTGCCAGTAGGTCTTGGGCTTCAAAGATGTAGTGCCTGTATGTTGGGCATACCCCAAATTAAGCGAGTGATTGTAGGCATCACACTGACGCAAGAAATGAAACAGCTCAGTCTTGTCGTGTTGAAGGACGAGTGCGAATGCAACAAAGAGGAGGTAGATAATCTTGTAAGCCATATGCAGGCCCACATTATTATCATCAAAGTGTTTGGACTGGGCCAGGATAGTCCTGTCGTCCACAAAGGAGAGTAGTGTCGTATTGAGTGGCGCAGCTTTAATGTAGAAGAGCTTCATCACTGGAGTGATGAAGAGCCCTGAAATCAGCCTTGTCATCTAGTGATATATATCAGATTGGACTACTACTCAGTACATGTTATACATCAGGATGGGTAGTAGCCCATTAGGCAATTGCCCAAGACGTTCTATAACAACATAGAGAGACGGAGGTCTTTATACTCCCCCACGTATCCCTATAGAACTCCAGTGGACTCCAGTGGAGTCTGGTAGAAATCTATTAGCAGAGTCCACTGGAGTCACCATCCAAAGTCTACTGGAGTTCACTAGAGTCTACTGGAGTCTACTGGAGTGGAGTGTCTATCTTCCACTGGACTCCTATAGGACTTCAGTGGAGTCCAGTAAACAATGCAGAGAGATGTCATAGTCATAAAAGAGAAATGTGACTGATGTCAAGGTTGATGGCCAGTCATGTGACTTTTTATTTGCCTATTCCTTCAGGGTCAGCTTCTGAAACTTTGATGTTATGGCCTCAAATAGAAACAATTAATAAATATATGACTGCTAGGCCCAGACTTGGCATTGATAAAAAGTAATAAAGCCATCAAGTTTGTTGATGCCATCAATATGAGAGTCATATGTGACAAATTGGATTTTGAAGACAATATTGCTTGATCTATACAGGGACTGGGAATTGAAATATGCAGGTCACATGACTGTGAGAAATTTCCTTTTAAGAGAAGATAATTGCAATAACAGATGACCCTGAATCCACTTGAGTGATGGTATTTGGCTCTATTAATGACAAGATATAAGCCAAATAATGCCAAAATTTGCAAAAGTAATCTACTTTTTCAGTATTTTGCATTTTTCTTGCCAAGCAGAGCAGCTAATGACATCAAATAACTTGATTCAGGGTCAACCAAAGGTGCTCTACAAATTCTGATGTTTTTTCCTAAAAAAATGATTATTAAGCATCTTGTTACATACTCTATATGCTGGACTTGGGCAATTGCCCAACAGACTATTATCTATTCTGATGTATAATAGGTACTGAGTAGTAGTCTATTTTGATACATATACTGGAGTCCAGTGGAGTCCAGTAAGACTCCAGTATCACACTCCAGTAGAGTCCAGTATACTTTCTTACTGGAGTCTACTGAACTCCAGTATAATTCCACTGGACTCCACTGGATAATATGCCAACTCCACTGGAGTCCAGTGGAGTCCTATAGCACTCTGTGGGGGACCACAAAGTACTGGTCTTTGTTGATGAGCTCCAGTTGAACCAAACCACGCTTTCCTCCCAAGTTGACTTCAGCAATAACTGCTCCCCAGACCTCAGCCTTGACAGGAGGTAACAGATTGCACTCGATAGTATCTCCAACCAGGAGCAGAGATATAAGCTGGCCAACACCTGGAAAGAGCAGGAAAACTTGTAGAGCCCAATGATCATTATTTCCAATTATTTCCAGATATTTCTCCTCATGCTCTAGACTCATTTCCCAATAGCTTTTGATGTCATCCGTCTTGCAACTTTTTCCCATATGGGGACTATAAGCCTTTTTATTGACAAGATAATTCTCAGCAGAATCTTTCGTATAGCCTCCCTTGAGAAGATCATCATAGAATTGAAGCCAGTCATCATAGCAATCAAACCAACAGAGATTTGTTTTGCACCATTCAGTTCCATAGAAGACTCCATGGAAACATAGCATGTTGAATAGGCCGATATGTGATTTCAGCTTGTGACTGTTGCTAAATATAGCGATTTCTGCATGGACTATAGTAGGTGCAAGCTGACGGAATGGCGAGAAAAAATCTAGATTGGTTATAATGGACTTCAACAAGTTATCCTTGCCCTGGTGAATTTGTGCTGGAGTGCTGCTGACAATAGGAACTAGATGCATAAGATACTGTAGAAAGAGTTCCATCTTTGCTTCTCAATGCTCTTGACTTGATGTTGCCTCAGGTTGTGAGTCTTGGTGCCAATCAGAGATATATTGATCAAGATATTTGAGCAGAAGATGCTCAGGTGTTGATTTAACAAAAGCAGGATGCTGTTGAAAAGAGATTTCAAATTTTTGTACAGCATCTTCAATGTATCGAGCACTCTGGCATTGTGTTGAGTTAGCTCCAGGCATAAGAAATACTGGAGCTTTAATGTACACTGACCAAACTTCATCAAAATAGAACATGGATATACCACCCAAATGCACAATGATGTCGAGAAGCTCTCCTTGAACATAGCTGGTGTTCTTGTTTGGAACCTTCAACCAAGCTCGAACAGTTTTAAAGACGATATCTTTAATCTCAATGCTATAATCATTCTTGCTGAAGCAGAATTGAGGCAATTTAGTCGTGTACTGCACATCGTCGGCACTAGACATAAAATCTTTGGCCTTGAGAACTAGCTCTGACGGTCGATTGACAGGATTGTGGATGATCATAGTGATATGTTTGCTCAAATTTGCAACCCATGGTGCCATCTTGTGTCCATCTACTTCCAGAATGATGTTTTTCAGCCAAGTGTGGATTTTCCATGATGTATACATTATACAACTTTTCATCATCATGGTCTCCAGATTTGAAGTATGAGCTTGTTTGACAATATATTCAAAATCGGTCCAAAATGATGCCAGCTTCTTTGCAGTTGTCCAACTGTCAGGTTTCTCTTAAATGGCATGCAAAGTGTCTTTTTTTTTTTTTTTTTTTTTTTTTTTTTTGATCAACAATTTATATAGCAGTGCTTGATGGCAGGCCGCTCGCTATCTACAAAACATGTACACTACGCGGCCTGGATACTAAGTAAACTACTAAAAGACGTCCGCCCCCCCAACCATGAGCCTTATGGCTCAAACGCCTAAACTCCCATAAAGCCAGACCCACCTCGCGAAAACGGTGACACAGGATAAGGGGAGGAGACCATCGAGGCCCTGCTAAACCCCAGAGCCGTTGGACACTGTTCGGAGGCCACGCAGCGCAAATGAAAATAAGAGAGCACCACCCAGGAGGTGGCAGGGTGTCTTAAGGCCGACAAGCCAGAGGTGCGCCTGCCCGAAACCAGATGCAGAAAGTTAGCAGCGCTGCAACCCGCTATAATAGTGGCCACAAGCGCAAAAAAATGAAACGGGCGCAGGTCTCCGGACCCTAAGGTCCGAGGGTGTCAATTCACCGATAAATCCTCCAACAGGAGGAATAACCCTGCCCGAGGCGATTATCCGACCCCCGAAGGGTCCCGGGTGAAGCCAAACGCCGTAGGGTTGTACTTCATAAAAGCTGCAATGTCCCCAAGAAATCGGGGGTAATGCACGGAGTAGCGATCGTGACAGCGAAAGAGAATATGCTGACGGGACTGCAAGGCAGCCCCGCAAGTGCAGCCATGAGGCTGATTGATCTTGAAGCGACAGTAATATGCTCCAATGGGCATGTGGCCAGTTATGCACCAGCACACACGGGCGAACTCAGTAATACTGTGTCTGAAAGTTGAAAGCCAAGGTCCCCCATTGAGGTACGATGGCTGTATCGGCTGCCCATCAGGCTGTTGAAGCTCTAAGAATTCAGAGCCTCAGTAGGTTGGATCCTGGAAAGTGGAGCTCCACGAATCCAGGACTGAGTGCACTGCCCGGGAGCGAAGCGTGTCTATAGAGTTGTCCGTCTTGCGACGTCCAACCCTGACTTTGAGTTCGGTGACGTACTTGTGTGCCTCACCATGGATATCCCACCGCAGAGCGGATGGGACGTAGACAAAGGTAATGCGGCAGAGATCATCCGCCTCAAACCACTCTTGAAGAACGCGACAGACCGACAGGCTAAAAGCCTGACCAGAGTGCACACCGAGCATGCAAAGTGTCGGCACAGATCTTTCCAGTTGTTTGAGATTCCTTCTGTTGCTTTTCCTCTATATGAGCAGCAATACCATACTGAATATTCTCAATTATATCAACAATAGTATTGATGTTAATTGATGCAAAAGGGCCTGAACAATTTGAACTTAGTCAACAAATAGGAATATGAATTAATATTTCTTACCAGAATATGGTGTAGGACCATCAGCATCCATGTTGACATCTGATAGGATATTTTCATGAGTTGAAGTTGACATTGTTGGCATTGTAAAAACAGCGTATTGTAGCTCTTCTTTAGGATCAAGCCATATCTTCCGTAAGGGTTTTGCATTTGCTGGAGTATCGTCCTCAAATTCACTTTGTGAAGTATCGCTCTGAGATTTTTGCTTTAGAATAAACAACAATTTGTTTAAAAAATAAATGTACTTCTTCTAGCTGCTTGTCTTCTTCATTATGCTGGAATAATATATTAATAAGTGCACAATTGTACCAGATAGGGTGAAACACATACCATGTTTACATCACTGAAGACAGCTTTTTCCTTTCCTTTTGACTGAGATGCTTATACTATATTCAGCACATTTTATAAGTGCAATATGTTTGATACTCTTACCTGGTGATTCAAATATATATAATTCAGCCAGGTCATGAGCCATCATTCCTCCCATTTTGTCAGCTGGAGTTGTATAAACCGGAGTGGAAACTGTTTTTTGCTTCTTGTTTGATGAATCTGATTATATGAATATAATGAGATTCAGCAAATAAATCATATAATAGAAGGTACCCACTATCATTAGCATTATTTGGTTTTCTCTTAGAAGTATTTTTTGGAACTTGAGTATCATTCTTCTTCTTTCTTTGAGCAATTCCTGGTTGTCCTTCCTCAATTTCTCTTCTCATTAAATCAAAGTCAACCTCGACTTGAGATGGCATGTACTTTGAACACTTCTCCATGTAGTCAACCATCTTGAGCAATAGTGTTTTATGGTTTGAGTTCTTTCTGGGTGCTTCTAGCCAATGACAAGGAGAGATATCTTGTCCTTTATGCTTTACAGTAATTGAGGACATGAGTTTGACAGGATCAATGTCAAATTCTTCAAATGGAAGTTGTGTTCCAAAGTACCGCACTAAAAGATACATATTGTTGAAGAAAAAATTGACAAGTGATTGAGGCTCCATGATAACAGCTCCATCGATAGCATAATTTGCTGATTCAGAAACCAATGTGCCATCATATCCGCTAAAATCTTTATAAATAATCTGCTCATCAAGTATTCAGAATAAGCTTACATATAGCCAGAAATTTCTGGCAGAATTGAAAAGTTCTGATTTTTTGTCCAATTTGCCAATGGAATCATGCTATTTCCATTTCCAAGCATTATAGATTGTGGAGAATATGAGACCAAGGCAAATCGAAGAGCGTCGTGTGCTACTTCCTCTCCTGGAGGTGCAATTGGAGGAGATCCACCATGTCGAGTGAGACCGCAGAAGTTCATGACCATTAAAGGCTGCAGAACAAAGTAGCATCTGAGAGCTAAAAGGTGGAATCTTCCAGGTTTATAGTTGCTTGGCAGATTGCTATTCGCAATCATTGAAGTCATTGCTGCAACCCAATCAAAGCCATCGATATGACCATCTGTTGATCCAAATTCACCCATCCCTTCAAGACCCTTTTCTAAAACACACTCAGAATAAGCCTCTTAGATATCTAACACAAACTTACCAGTGCATTCTTCATAGTTTACAGCTGGTGCTATATTGAGTTGCATCACAGGAAAGGCAAAGTTATCTTTGATACCAATCCTAGGTACGTTGTGGTAACGAGAATGTTCTTCCAGAATTTCTAGCATTTCAGCTGGTGCATACATTCTCATTGACATCATTGAGACTGTGGCACATAGCTGCCATAGATTTAACAAATTCAGACTTGTGTTCTTTTACAATCACAAAATCTTACCTTTGCAATTTTTTGACGGATTTTTTCATTTGGTGTCAGCTTGCCATTATAGATTTTACTACTAGCTGCAGGTCCCACAATGTTGGGTGAATGTTGGTGCAACATGCTTATACCAAAGCATCGTAAATCCTTCACACCAGGATCGATACCCCAGCGTTCAAAGCCAGTTCCTCCCACCAATACACCATTGATCATAATCGCCTCTTTCTCTCGAACACCCACTTGTCAACAAGTGCAAACAACCAGCTCACCGTCTCGCACATCGTCTAGCGCTTTATCGACAAGCCAGAAGACCCCTTTTGATTGTTTGCACTGCATTCGCAAACCATGTCCGACCTTCCACCAAGAGGTCGGGGCGCGAGGCCCCCTGGGGCAGTTTCTAGGAGCCGTTGTGGGGGGGACTCGGGCTCTGCCCCACCAGCAATACCACCATCGGTCGCTGGCTCATCGTCTTTTGGCGGTGATGCCTCGCCAATCTCACCAGACCCTACCTCGACTAGGGCCACATACTCGACAGTTGTGCTAGCTCGATCTCACCACACGTCACCCTGCCGCAGGTCCCGCTCCACCACGGGTTCCGCCCATTTGTCCGCAGATGAGTCTGACTCAGGGACGGCCCACCCCCAGGAGATGGAGGTTGAGGGCACTCAGGGAGGGGAGGAGGTCTTGAGGGACCCCTCCGTCGACCTTCTTCTAGGTCAATACGCCTTGAAGTTCCGAGACACAGTCGAGGATCTTCCTGGCGATCTTGAGGTATTGACCACCTCCATTGCGAAGGCCACAGACTGGGTTCTGCAGGCCGTGCACCATGATCTGCTCTCCATTGATGGGGGCGATGCTTTCGTGGCCCAGATGACGTCCTTCGTGAACGCCGTCATGGCCACTGACTTTAGTCGTATTCGCGGGCCAGGCGAACTCGACAACTTCTCACTCGCCTCTCTCCTTGAGGCTGAGACATCTTCCAAGGACGAGCCAACCATCCATCCGGCTCCCGTATTCAGGCCTCCTCCTCCTGCTGCCTGTGGGCCGCTTGATGAGGGTGTCATTGATGTAGGGGCTCCACCCAACGTCCTCATGCAGGCACTGGACGACCTTGGTCACCTGGCCTCCCCTTCTCGCATCCCTGCTTCCAAGAAGCATAAGGGTGTCAATCGTCCGGTTCCACCTCCTCCGCAGAAGAAGAGCAAGGTGGCCTACTCACGCCCTGGTCCGCCTCCGCTGATCAACCGCGCTACCAAACCCAAGCCCCGTCCAACGACGTGGGCAGGGATCGCACGACAGGCCGCTCCGATGCCTCCCCCGCCTCCTGGCTTGGGACTGCAGCGTCATGGGCCTTCTCCTCCCCCTCCCGCATTCCCGATGGGCCCAATGAAGACTTCGCCTCATTGACCCGGAAGCAAGTTCTCGTGTCGTTTGGGGGTATCCCTCCCGACCTCACGAAATTCTTCACCGAGTCGGCTGTTCATGCAGCCAATGGGTATCTCAGAGATGGTCGATCTATGTTGAAGGTCACCTCTATCGTCCACGCCTACGACAGTTTGTTGTTGGTCACCCCCGCTGTTGCCAGCCCGTCCAACCTGGACATACTGCGTAACTTCATCCGTGAAAGCCTCCCGACGGGTACCCCGTTTGAGGTCGCACTCCCATTGTCGACATCTTTTATAAAGATACTTGATGTTCCTTACTTCGATCCAAAAGAGCTGAAGATCACCCAGGAGGCGCTTGAAAAGGCCCTCCGCACCTTGGTTCACGCTGAGGTCTTTGCTTATCTGAGCACCAAGCCTCGGATCGACCGCAACTCAGCGCACTCCACATCGTGCACCGTCTACTGCAACATTTGGGACTCCCAGCAGGGAACCCACGCCAAGAAGGCCTTAAGCCAACCAATCTTCCTCACTGGGTGGTCCTGCGCAATCAGGCCTGCCACACGACACACCGGGGTTCCGCTATGCCAGCGCTGCTGGAAGTGGGGCCACCCCACCGTCGCCTGCAAGGCAAAACAACTCTCTTGCCCTATCTGCTCGGGGCCACATGAGCAGAAGGAGCACCGCCAACATGCGGGATGTTGCAAGGGCAACGCAAAAGTGAAACCTCCTGTGCCGCCCACCCCTCACGACCAGCCCTGCCCCTATAAGGGCCGCTGTGTCAATTGCCATAAGGACCATGCTGCCAACTCGGCCTTGTGCAAGTTCTGGGCCCATCGCTACGACCGTGAGTGGATCATGGCCAAGTATTGTCAGGTACGTGAGCATGCTGCTCACCGCCAACTTACTAACCCCCAAACCTAGACTAATGTTGGGAAACCATCAGGATCTAAGTAGTGGGCTTCGTATCTTTTGTCAGAACATTTGTCATACATATGCACACGTCGATACTCTTCTAGAAATTTGTAAAACCAAATTTGATATTCTATTTTTCCAAGAAACCTCTTGGAATTTCATAAGGCACACACCGTCCACCATTGGTATGGAGGGCGATGAGGTTATCGGCGCACCAAAGCATCCCGACTGGCTGCAAATGGTGCGCATTAAGGAAGGGGAAGTTCCCCGCGTGATCGCCTACGTTTCGACTAGGCTCTCCTGCTATCATCCCACTATGTGTTGCGACATTGTTGACCATCGCGACATCCTCGTCCTCTCCCTCTTCAGTGGGGGTGAGGTTCTTAACTTAATGAATGTATACTCTGACGATCAACACACAGCCATTGAGCACCTTGCTGCTCATGTGCATTCTTTACCACCTTTCATCTATATGGCTGGTGACTTCAACTGCGTGTCGACAACTTGGGATGACTATGAGCATGGCGAGTCGTCGACGGCAATATCCCTGCGGGACTCTGCATCTCAGATCGGCCTCGAGTGGGCACGACCTTCCAACCATGGACCGACGAGGATCAGTCCTAATCCAAACCAGAGATCCAATGTGTTGGATCTTGTATTCTTAGCTCCATCTGAGATTCTAATCTCGATGCCCAGATTGGAGCACGATCTCCAGGGTCCATCAGATCATGTTCCGATCTGTACAGATCTTGATATCGGTCCCGAACTGCCCGGATCTGGGCGAAGGACAATTAAACCTGGAAGCGAGGCTGAAAAGTCTTTCATTTCAGATATTCTGCGGGATCTTGCGGCTATTCCTGTCGCAGCCCCGGCAACCAAGGAAGGCGTTGAAGCTTTAGCTGATGCTATCGCAACAGCGTTCTCAGACACCTGGCTTGCCCATTCGACTGAGTCCAAACCTACCAAGCGCTCCAAGTCCTGGTGGACGGACGAGTGCTTGGAGACATTTGGAGTATATCAGTTGAGCCGCTCGCTCGCTGATTACAACAAGTTTAAGAAGGCGTGTAAGAACGCCAAGTGTGATTTCTTTGATGAACACATCGCAGAAATGGCTACCTCTCGCAAGCACCCATGGGACCTAATGGAATGGGTCAAACAGCACAAGCTACCACCCTGTGAGGCTATTCGCAATGGCGACCAGCCTTGCCACGATATGGACGACCTCTGGGACGCCCTCCACGGCATGTACAACTTGGCCTCTGGTCGTGAGTACGACGCCTCTGTCTTAGATGAGCTTCCCGACCAGCCGGTCCGTGAGTGGGCTGACTTCTCGGAGCATGAGTTGTTGAGTGCCCTAAAGGGGTGCTCCAACTCCTCTGCACCAGGACCAGACCACATTACATGGGTCCACCTAAAGGAGCTGCTCAAGGATAAACACGTCCTTGCGCTCTTCATCGTGTTGGCTAATGCTTGCCTTCGGGTGGGTCATTGGCTGCGTATATTCAAGGAGTCGCTCTCGGTTATCGTTCCGAAACCGAATAAGCCCTCCTACACAGTCCCAAAGGCCTTCAGGCTGATCGTCCTCTTCATCACTTTCGGTAAACTTATTGAAAAGATGATTGCCAACAGGATACAGTTTGACGCCGTCAAGCATGATATCTTCCATCCCAACCAACTTGGCGGTATCCACCAGAGGTCCACTGAGGATGCTGGATTGATTCTGACTCATCTCATGCGAGCGGGGTGGGTTAAGGGTCTCCAGACTAGCGCGCTGGCTTTTGACATTGCGCAGTTCTTCCCTTCTATCAACCATGATGTTCATGGCCTCTCGCATTAGCTGGTGGAGTTCTTTGCCTCTTATCTTGTTGGTTGTTCCACAGTCTACTGTTGGAACACCTTCCAATCTGACTCGCGGTCTGCGGATGTGGGTGTCAGGCAGGGCTCAGCCCTTTCACCTGTTATCTCTGGGCTATTCATCGCTCCGGGTG